TAATTGAATCACCAGGGTCAAAACACCACACCAACTGCAATAATTGAATCACCAGGGTCAAAACACCACACCAACTGCAATAATTGAATCACCAGGGTCAAAACACCACACCAACTGCAATAATTGAATCACCAGGGTCAAAACACCACACCAACTGCAATAATTGAATCACCAGGGTCTAAACACCACACCAACTGCAATAATTGAATCACCAGGGTCAAAACACCAACTAGCTGCAATGCTAAATGAAGTCAGCTTAGTTAAAAACTCGACAAATTTTACGTCATATGACTGAGTCACCATGCTAAATATATCATAACAAGTGTAATGTCATATAATTGGATCACCGGGCTAAGCCATAGCAACAAAGGTAATCCATGTGAACACGGCTCCAAGTAGACGTACTTTCAGTCTGTAGCATTCCATTCTTATATCTTATGAATTAATCTAAAGAAATGAAAAAGTCAAATTGAATGGAGTTCGTACTTGCTTATTTGGGGAATGCTATAAACAAGTATAATTCGAAACTTAATTCGGTTAGAAAACGACAATAAAACGATCCTCAGCTTTAGAATACGATTTGTTTGTTGAATTTCGCGCAAAGCTACTCGGGGACTATCTGAGCTAGCCGCCCTTACTTTAGAAGGTAGACAACTTTTGGCTTCTATTTAACAATAAATAGGTAATTACTGTAGGTTAAAGGTTCTGCCAGATTCTGTCCGTACAAACAATAAAGTGAATACAAAAGTTTGTAATATTCCAGACGTATCAGAATAGTTGAATAAAATATCTATATCTACCCAATAAACAGATTCACGGGTTCGAAGCTTGCCCAGTCTAAACAATTTTTAACATTATATGACGAAGTTCCATACTTAAAATGTCACTATCAACAAAATAAATAGTAATAAACTATTTTGAGCTTTACAAGCTGATTGATATAGTTCAAAAGTCCTGCCAAATTCAGTCCTTAATAACCAATGATTGTTTGTTTTATTATTAAACGCAAAGCTATACAATGGGCAATCTGTGCTGTATCTACTGTATACAAAGGTCGAACGAACTCCGAACTTTAGCATTATAAGCCCTCAAGCTTACCGCTGAACCATCAGGAAGCTAATCAATAACCAGTGAAGTTAAAACACAACCTTACAATATTTCAAACCATGTATTTAGATGGTTAGATCATCTATCTGGTACATTACAAATTGCAATCTCTCCGGGTCTCAGTATTTCACATCATTTATTTTTTATGGAGGGCTGACTCTCTTTGCATTTAAAGTAATTATCCATTCATATTGTTGAAGAGTTTTGTAACATTCCCTACAAAAAATATTATTTACTTAAACTAACGTTTATATCATTCAGATAGCTCATCAAACGGCGGAGACTTGTAATCTTACATTTATCCTATTGATTTTTTTCTGCCACATCCTAAACAGTGAACAATTTCCACGAGTATTTCATTTAACATCTCTTAAGCTGTCCAGAATTCAAATCTTTCAATCATTTCTGGTCACTTTTTCTTCAGTACCTTGATCTCTGGTTTACATCCGAAGCAATGAAGTTATTCTTCTCCCTAAACTACTTTGGGTACTTTATCTTCAGTAAATTGATATTTTGTTACATTGATCTGGTAAACTGCTTTGGCTATTTTATCTTCAATATATTAAACCCTTTTTACAGTTGATCTGGTCAGTTTATCTTCCATACCTTGATCTTTGGTTTACACTCCAAGAAATGGAGTGCTTCTTCTTCCTAAACTGAATTCTTGACTAATATATCTCAGACTCAACATCACCAGTCACACTAACTTCCGACTTATTTTCAACTTGTAAAATACTCAAAGAGGAATCCCTATCTATTTAGCACAGCTATTCAATATGAACAATATCCGGTTTGGAACGTTTTATTGCTTAAATGCATTACCACTGCATCTAAGCCTTTGTTAACTTCAACTAAACTTTGAAGATGTTTTCCTTTCCTTTGGAGTTATCAAGTCACACGGCGGAACGCAAACCTGTCAGCACAGTGAAATCATAATACTTTTTAAAGTTGACACGAGCTGGCTTCAAAATTTCCCACACCCAATGTCAGAGATACTCTTAGAGATATCTATCGAATGAATAGTGTAGAGTTGCTCAGACATATCTTTCTCAGGATAATTACAGAGGAAATTCAAAGGTATCTTCGTAGTCCCACCAATCATGAAAGAGGCTGTAATGTAATCCGCTTCTTCATATCTCGAGGTTTCATAGTTTATTAATTATAGAGCAGGGTTTTTTTCCTACCCTTTTTGTTTCTTGTCCACAGACATTATTGACTGGTTTAATGCAGTTGTATTATTTTGACATCCATCTAAAAAATTATGGAAATTTCTTACACATTCCGTATAACATCACAGCCTCAAATTTTAGTCCTATTTAATTATAAAGTCCCCTAAGGGATTCTCCACATCTTGAAAAAAAAAATCATTAATCACCTTTTAAACCAACTGATAAGTTTTTGTCGTATAGCAAAAGCCTCTGACTAATTTCAAAAAGATTCTACCATCACAACGACGTTCTCGGTCCCATCATTTAGCTATGTTGGGGATTTAGGCCATCAACAGCAATTAATTTGAGGTATACTTTAAGAATTTACTTTTGAATTTGCACCAACTATTCTATTTTCAGTGGGTTCTTTTCTTTTGGTAAAATTTAACAAAATATAACCCAATAGAGCTTTTTATTACCTCCCTAAAAACTTAACAATTATATCGAACAATAAAATAACATCTATTGGACAAAGTTGCAATACATACTTATAAAGAATAGTCAACAAATATTCATATGCCATGTCTAGTGCACAACAATTTCACTTCTTCATTACTTCACAGCGATGAGACACCATTTTACACAAATCTCCATGTAATAAAGTATTTTGGCTCATTTTTCTGGCATCAGATAAGATGCACATTTTGTAAAACATCACTTATTCAGAATATTTATCGTTTAAAAGTTTTTATTGTTTTAAATCTGTCATAAGCCACCGAAGCATATGTGTATTTAGTCGCGCGATATGTTTATATTGGATACACACTGCCTCGTATTGTAAATAGCTTTCTACTGATCGATACTCCCATTTGCTAACGTAATACCAGGAAGAAGTCTCCAACGCTCGATCATCAAAGTCTCATTATATGTGAATCCCCTACTTTTATACACAACTAACCCAGAGTTTGCCTTGCAAATGAGAAGAGATAATGACATTTCGCGCCAAAACCGAGACAGTTAAGTACTGGTAGACGTCTGATCTCGGCCTACGTAACGTTAATGTTTAAATAACAATTTCATTAGAAGTCACTCCTAATTCATCACATTGTTATATCTTATAGATAATAGACGCGCATGATTCTGGATGATGCTGAAAAGCGCAATCTCTAATGTAAAGTACTTCAATGTAATATCCTCTGAGATGGCTGTCATTCAATTACATTAAAGTACAATGACTATTTTCATGCAACATGGCAGATTGCTTGAATGTAGGATAATGGCACTTACACTGTAATTTCAAAAGTCTTTGTTAAAATGACTCACGCGAAACGATGAATCATGACAAGTCTAAGTAAAAGTTATATAGCCATCAAGCCCATTTTCTTGTCTGAAGTCATCAAATTAATTACTTTGTAATTCCACGTTTCCTTCTTTTTTTCCACTAAAATAACTGACTTATTTGGAAAGGTAGTATGGTTTAGAATAGTTCACAAAACCTAAAATTAACTCTTAATCTTTTATAAGACAAATGGTCAAGTCCACACTAGCAAAAGTTAATGGAATTGTGGGTAGAACATTAAGTTTTGTTTCTTTCTCCAGTAGATTTGTATTTTACGGCAAAACTACTAAGGCTAGATGCCGCCGTCCTTAATTTTGATCTACTGACCAGAGGTAGGCAGACACACTACAGCCCACGTTAAACGATTGGTTTTACTCTTATAACACACCCACAGCGGAATATACGAGGAGTATTTAGTATTGTCGCATGGATTCGAACCTGGATAGCCAGCTCTGAAACCAGAATTCTACCACACAGCCAACTCCACTAGATAACTAGGAAACGAACCAGACGAAGCCTTATAAACATAACTCTATAACCTACAAACAAATAACTTGCTTTCTGTTGGGGCATACATTTTCTTTAACATTTCTTGATAATATTCTTTCGTCTTACACATTACTTTTCTTTGGTATTTTATGGTAATGAGATACTTTCTGTTGCAACGTAACTATTCTTTAATATTCCATAGCAATGATATGTTTTTGTTGTTGCATGACTTTTCTATATTCCATAAAAATAGTATACTTTCCGTTGTTGAATGATTTTTTTTATATTCCACAGTATTGGTTTAATTTCTGTTGTTGCATTACTTTTTTTATATTTCACAGCAATGGTATTCTTCCTGTTTTTGCATGACTTTTTTATATTCCACAACAATGGTATACTTTCTGTTGTTGAGTGACTTTTATATATCTCCTTACAAACAGGTGCCTTATTTTGACACATAACTTTCCTGTATTATTTTTAAGTAATAACATATCATCTGTTGGTACATAACATTTTCTTTTATTTAATAATAAGGTGCCTTATTTTGACGAATGACTTATCATTGATATTTTCTAGCAGTAAAATGCTTTGTGTTGACGCATGACTTGTCTCTTTTTGATTTTTCCTAAAATAAAACGCTTTCTACGTTCGAAAGATGAAAGCCTCAAATGATAATTCGTTCTGGGCCACATTTATACCTAAACTCTAGTGGAAATTCAACCTTTATTAGCAAACACATACATAAAGATTCTATTTTGAGGTTCTGGGTTAATTAAAAATCACTCCTGTATATAAGAGTTCTGGATTATTAGCGCACAGTAAAATATTAAATTATTTCATGTTAGCATTTCTAGTCAGTTCAAAAACCGCAATGTTATTAAAAATTACTTTTTTTGTGATTTCGTGATGTTTTCTAGATATATCGACCTTATAATCTTCGGACTTCGAAGCAGAAGAGAGCGTCGACAAAAGCAGCGAAGAGCGAGAGAGTGGAATCTGACGTTTCGAAGAACACCAGAAGCAACAATGGACGACAACGTCGACTACTACCAACTGACGATTCAGGAAGATAGAGATACTTCTCTCCTGTCTCTGTTTGAAAGCTTTATGGAGTCTGCACCTCAGTTAGTTCTGCAAATCTACATTCTAGCTGAAAGAGGGGTTGTTCCTAACGACCATTGGACAGGTAATGTATGGTCATTACTAAATATGGTAATAAAACGATCTTGTAACTCCAAGGTGTTGGTCGCTCCTGAGACCATAAGTACATCTCTTACGTTTTTCACAGAAATAAAAGTAAATAAATATGAAAGAACTGTATAACTTCAGCATGTTAAATATATATATCTGAGCTTTATATGTACCAGGAGATTAAATTGTTAGATGCTATAAGCCTTTACCTACATATAACAGGTAAAACAGGCAACGTAAAAACATAGTGTTTAACTTATATCTTTATTTATGAATGTCAGCCACAAAGAGATGAATTGGAGGATTTTTAGATAACATTTGACAATCAGCAATAGATAAAACAAAACTTATTGCCTACTAACAATAGATAAAACCAAAACTTATTGTCTATCAACAATAGATAAAACAAAAACTTATTGTCTATCAACAATAAATAAAACAAAACTTATTGTCTATCAACAATAGATAAAACAAAAACTTATTGTCTATCAACAATAGATAAAACAAAAACTTATTGTCTATCAACAATAGATAAAACAAAACTTATTGTCTATCAACAATAGATAAAACAAAAACTTATTGTCTATCAACAATATATAAAACAAAAACTTATTGTCTATCAACAATATATAAAACAAAAAATTATAATCTATCAACTAAACAGTTTTGGTATTGATTGAAAGACCCCATTGGCAACGACTTGTGATTCGACAATTTAAAAGGAATATGGAAAAAATATCTAAAGTCTAAGTGTTGTTTTCTTATAAATATTATTTTTATTTGGTTAAAAACAGTACTGTTTAGCTCATTTCTTGCTTACGAAAAAGTTTCTAGTTTAAAAAAAATATCGCTAGATATATTCTTTTACTTATGAATAACATATATCAAGGAATAATCTAAATCTCTTATTGTTTCGCTTTACAGTTGGCATCCAGTTGGCATCTGTAGCATCGTCTTTATTTGAGTTGTCGTGGTCATTAGCATCGTATCATAGGGCCTTACGACGATCGGTGGAGGACAAGCGGAACATGACCTGGGTCGGTACGAGTATTCAATTTCTGTGGCGTTACTGTACCACAGCAGCCAGGGTCCTATCTTTGGCACTATTTGCTTCCGAATACGGGTACTGGATGTTCCCAGTGTGCATCGGGCACTGGGGCATCATGACGGTGTGGGTGATGCACCAACAAACCAGCTTCTGTGATTCGGAGACTGGTGAGAAACGCCAGTGTGAAGAATACCTGTTTAATATGGTGATTGGAGCGGTCTACCTGTTTTGTTTCTTGAACGTGAAAGACGAACCCACTCGCGTCAAGTACCTGGCCTATTACATCATTGTATTCATAGAGAACTTGTCGATGATTGTCTTATGGTACGTTCGAACTGACCCAAGTGTGTGGTACCACTTGCCTGCCCTAATCGGTGTCTTCGGCAGTTTTGCACTGGGTATCATTTTCATGCAGCTCTACTACCGTTTCTGCCATCCTGAAACCAACATTCCATGTAGCGATCGTCCTGCGAGTTGCTGCTAAGTGTTGGTTACTATAGCTACGACGTTGTTTCTGGTAACCATTAATCAACGTGATACAATCTCTAACAGCTATCTCCCGGTCGTTGATCTCGACAGCTACTTAGCGGCTTAAATGGTTTACGTTACACAACTCCTTAGGTGTGTGAATCATTTTATTGCAGTCGGGTCTTGGAATCTGATGCGACATAATTACAGCCATCACTCAGTTAATTTTTGTGTCTTGTTTGTTGTGACACAGTTTTCTTTTAAGGTTGTAGTTCACTTTTATGTGACAAGTTCTTATATCCTTGAATAGGATGCTAGATGTTGCATTGTTTACCACGTGACTTAGTCGTGGTTATGTCAGACAAATTTTGTGATAGCTATGACCTAATTGCTGGATATGATACAGTTTTTGTAGCTGTCATTAGAATATTTTTGTGACATAATCTTTTCCAAGAACGAATCAGCTACTGTGTATGATACAGTTTTGATACAGCTGAAAATAATGTAGGAGACAACCTTAGATACAGCTAAGAATCAGCTACTAAATACGACACAGTCTAGCCACGTGCGTTAATGTACATCTAACTGTTAAAGAATTAGTAATATGATTTGGTAATTCTGTTCAAGACAAACGTTCATTGTCCTTTACACGGGCATTGGATATAGAAATTTCGTTGTTTTGAATCAACTTAACCCTTTTCTGTAAATCTGAAAAACACCGTTTAACGAAATGAATTTATATGTAAATGCATAATCAACTAATAACAAGCTACATTTCAAGAAGTTAACTAGTTTCATTAAATTTGTAGGAATAGGAAGCTAATAAACTTCAAATGGAAACCAGTGAAAGTTCGAGATGCTTTCGTATTTAACAAGGTAGCTCCTCAACAAACGGAGAACGCTGTAAGGCACATTTCTTAATTTTGATACACCCAACGTTTCAGACTTGTGTCCTGATGCCTTACACTCACCAACTTCATCTAGCTTATTAATCGAAGGGGATGGTTGACATGTGTCACCAACTTCGTCTAGCTTATTAATCGAAGAGGATGCTTGACATGTGTCACCAACTTCGTCTAACCTATTAATCGAAGAGAATGCTTGAAATGTGTCACCAACTTCGTCTAGCTTATTAATCGAAGAGGATGCTTGACATGTGTCACCAACTTCGTCTAACCTATTAATCGAAGAGAATGCTTGACATGTGTCACCAACTTCGTCTAACCTATTAATCGAAGAGAATGCTTGACATGTGTCACCAACTTCGTCTAGCTTATTAATCGAAGAGAATGCTTGACATGTGTCACCAACTTCGTCTAACCTATTAATCGAAGAGAATGCTTGACATGTGTCACCAACTTCGTCTAGCTTATTAATCAAAGAGAATGCTTGACATGTGTCACCAACTTCGTCTAACCTATTAATCGAAGAGAATGCTTGACATGTGTCACCAACTTCGTCTAGCTTATTAATCAAAGAGGCTGCTTGACATGTGTCACCAACTTCGTCTAGCTTATTAATCAAAGAGGCTGCTTGACATGTGTCACCAACTTCGTCTAGCTTATTAATCAAAGAGAATGCTTGACATGTGTCACCCCTATAACATGTACATAGAATTCAACACAACAGATTTGAAGATCTGCTTCCATATTTTGTCCATGGTTCCTCCCCCCCGGTGAGTCAGTAGTATGTTTACGGACTTAGAACATCACGGTGGACAGAACAAGGATAGTCCACTGTGAAGATTTGTGCTAAAACAACAACAATAACTTTCGTCCATTTGGTGTGATAACTCTGAAGTAAATAAAGTTTCGCTAGCCCAGTTGTTCTTATTTGTTACTGTAACTGTAATTGCAAGGAGGTTTAAGCAAATATAATTTTCTCATACTTTCCACAGAGAAGGTGAAAATTAAAGAACATATTTAAAAAAAAATGAATGTTAAACACGTAAGAGAAAATTATATTCAGATATTGTTTTTAAAAATATCAAGAACAGGGGCATTTGAAGAGAGAAGTGTGTGTTTTTAAGACGGTATGGGTCAAAATGAGGTTTCTTTTCAAGAAAGAAATTACCTTACCTTATCCAAGCATGTATAACTACTGAACAGAACAAACTTTGAAATATAAAAGTATTTAGTGCAACTTCATAACTTGAACGTGTCCGCAAACATAAGATTATTCTTGTATACTGCCTATTAATTTCTAGTTAATTCGAAGGCAGTGGTCAAGGTTGTTGTTTGCTGTTTGTTAATGGTGTATATCAGATGCCAACAAGAGCAAAGTGGATGCCAAACATTTCTGTTGACAATGATGAGATGGCGTACACTTAACTCTTAAGAGACCCAGTTAACGATGGCTCCACTTAAACTGTAGAAACTATGCTGATTATTCTCGAAGCACGTATATTATAGTCTGAAACTATACAGGTACAACTTGATGGTACTGTGCAGCAATACAGGGTTGTATATAATTTTCCACCAAAGGACTTCACACTGAGTATGGTAAACTTCAAGCTCCTGAGCAAAACTACTCATAAGCGACTGAGTATAACTGTTCAGTTTTTACCCGTCTGAACAGGTCTGAAAAAAACAAAGGTTGTCTAAAAAAACCTCCCTTGAACAGAGTTGATACTTTTTACATTTTGTACATATTCAAAGTTCTTTAAATACGTGTCGAATAGTCAATATTATTACGTGTATATGTGTGTGTAATAAAGTTCTGCCCTTCTAGTACAGTGTGTCAAAATGTGTTATAAATGGCTGTGATATGATCTTGTAAAAGTTTTGTATTCCTAAGTTTGGCCATGAATAAAGAATAATAATAAAATACAAAATTTGGAAAAAAAAACAAGATGTTTTCTGTATCATAACTTCAAGAACAGACGGACATCGGGATTCAAGCTAGCAATAACTGACGAGGTTAGGTAATTAAGAGTACAGGACAAAGGTCAACAAACCTTTTGAATCCATCCCATATATTACGTATTCTAGTGGTCAGTATATGTTCTTTTTATATCATAGAAGAGTAAATCACTATCCATCGATAGAATGGCAAAAATAACTTGAAATAAACGCTACTCGAGTATGTATTACATTTATATATATATAAAAATATAGAAATATGAAAGAAGGCAATGACATTTTAAGCAGTAGTTATACAGTGATGCCACATGAGTTAATAATATCCTGCGTAATATCACTGTGAATGGATAGTTAGAGTTGATGATGTCCTACATGATGTTACTGTGAATGGATGGTTAGAATTAAGGTATCCTAGATGATATCACTGTGAATGAATGGTTAGAGTTGATGATGTCCCACATGATGTCATTGTGAATGAA